TGCTGCAGCACCACCGCCTTCCTAACCTCACTAGCCTTACTTTCACTTCATTTCTGGCACCTGGAGATTTTACTTTCTTTCTTTTAACCTTGGCAGTGAATTTCTTTCTCATTGTTCCTTTTTTGCAGCATTTCTATACATTTTTAATAGGAGGAGTGCCTGCTGACTTTAGCTGAGGCTGGCACATGCTGGGAATCTTCACTTGCTCTGTATACAGACAGTTACTCCTCCTGTTTTCAGCCCCACTGTCGTTCTTGTCCTTCGTCCTATCTGCCAAGACTGAGTCTAAACCCTGCCAACTGTCTTCTGGGTCGACTGGCCACCTCTTCTTGTGTATTTTATAGAATTTGGCTTTTTCCATTGTGTTTCTTTCCTCAATACTTTTCCTTCCACTTTGCCCTTAAGGGATTTGCCCAGATCTTCTTTCTGCTAATGCCCCAAGCACATTCTTTTCACTGTTATGGTTTTGATTCTTTTTCTTCACTACTATTTTCATGAGGTCTCCAGGGTTTGAAAAAAAAACATGCATTTACACAACCTACTGTCTAGAATGAAAGAGCTCAGCTAAGTTCTCAGTGTTGCTGTGTAAGCTTTTTTCCCTTCCTCCCTCCATCTGTCTTTCTTTTCTTTCTTTTTTATTTATTCCTTTCTTTTCTTTCTTTCTCTCTCTCCCTCCTTTTCTGTCTCTTTAGAGGTCAGCTTACTTTCTCATTTCTGACAGCTGTTTTCCTTCCCTCTGTCCTAGCAGAGGACCTTAACTCTCTTCTCTAAGGGAAACAGAAGTCATCAGACAAGAGCCCTCCTGGTTCCTATCCTCATTCTCCAGAGAAGCTCACCTTTCTTGTTATCTCCCCTCACCTCTTCTTTCTCTCCCAGAGCAAAAGCTCCCCCTTTGTTCTGTCCTCAGTTGACCCTTGGACCTGAGCAGCTGCGTAGACTCTCCTTCCACCCGCACTGTGGTACCTCTTCCCTTGGCAGCCTTATCCACGTGCCACGTTGCTCACCTGTGCGTCCAGTTCTGATCTCCTTACCTCAGATTATATTTCTAATTGTTTGTTGACTGGATATCCTTCTGCACACATCTGGTGGTTTCCTCAAATTCAACGTGTCCAAAGTTGACATCTTTGTTTACCCCTGAAAAATCAGCTTCTTCTCATGTTTTCCCCATTTTGCTGAGCAGTACCATGGTCCGCTAAGTCATCCCAGCCACAAGTCTGGGTGTCTTTGGACTTTCTCATATCGTTCTAGAACTGCATTGACCAACAGAGTAGCTACTGGCCACATACAACTATTTAAGTTTGAATTTAAATTAATTAAAATAGAGTAAATTGAAAATGAAGTTCCTCGGGTACAGTGGGCACATTGCACGTGGCTGTGGCTGCCACAGTGGACGGTGGGGCTACGGAACATGCCCGTTGTTACAGGGAGTTCTGTTGGACGATGCTGGCTGGTGGGTGTTTGCCAGTTTTGCTCCCACTTCTCTAACAGTGTCGGAGTCGTCATCACCTCTCACCTGCAGCTGTGACTCACTTCCTTTCTCTTCCCTGCTCCAGTCCGTTCTCTCTCTAATCAAACGATGTTGTAAAGCCCTTTTCTCTCGCTGGGAAGTCATTGAGGTGTAGGCAGAGTTCCAGTATTTCACGGTCATTTCCTTCCTTGAACCCTTCAGAGCCCCCCATGCCTTTTTGTCCTCACATGCCTGTTAAACAGCTCCTCAGCCTCCAGATTGAAGCCCGGCGTTCCCTGCTCTGGGAAGGCAGAGTGAGGCTTTGTTCACGCGCTGGCCCTGCTTCTTGTTGTTGCTCTCAGGGTACGTGTCACGAGATGTCTGATGAGGCTCTGAGCCCCTGCAGAGACAAGAGTCTTAAAAGACTCGGCCAGGCCTCCAGTGTATGTAGCAGACGAACTTCTCTCCCGGACCTCTGGATGGGGACTGGCTACATACTCACTTTAGGAGAAATGAGAAGATGGCCCCTGAAATCACGTTCTGTGTCCCGCTGTTGAAGGGCTCCAGTTGAGGAAAGCTGTAGGTGATGAATGACCGTCCCACAAGGATTGATTCCTGGCATGGGGTTGCTGTGATTCCCTGCTCTCCCCTGACTCCAAACCACACGTTCAGTTGAAAGAAATACACTTTCTTTAATAAATTATTTTTGGTGAAAGATGGGTATGTTAGTTAATTACCTCAAACTTGGTGACATAAGACCAAAAATTTTATTCTCTCACCATCCTGGAGTCTACAAAATCAAGGTGTTGGCAGAGCTGCGCTTCCTCCAGGGGTTCTAAGAAGAATCCTTCCTGCCCCTTCCAGCTCCTGGTGGTGTTTAACCTGTGGCCCATCTCTGCCTCCATCTTCTCATGACTTCCTGCTCTGTGTCTGTGTCTTTTTTCTTAAAAGGACACCAATCTTTAGATTGAGGGCCTACCCTAAATCCAGGGTGATCTCATCTTGAGATCCTTAATTTAATTACATCTACAGAGACCATATTTCAGAATAAGGTCCCATTCACTGGTATGTCACAGCTTGGATGTATCTTTTGAGAGGAGACACAATTCAACTTACTATAATGGGTAAGAATAAAAGTGAGGATTCCAATAGCTGTCTGCCTCCCTTCTCCTAAGACTTACCTAAGCTGACTCGACAGATTGGTTGCAGCCTTCATTTCTGTGCATTTTTTTCATTTAAATCAATTAAGATTCCACCTCCCAAGCAAGAGGGGAGAGAAGATCGTTTAACTCAACCAGTTGTCTCTCTTTCTTTCCATGACAGGCTCTCTCCACTGCCTAACAATTATCATTAAATAATAAAGTACAGACCAAAATAAACATGATTATCATCCTTTGGTGTTCAAAGACGTTCTCTGAGCCCAAAGCTTTTAAAATGAAAGTGGGTATTTAGATTTAGAAATCATTTTAAGCACGCATGCCCATCCACACACACGCCATGGAAAATGACTAGAAGCTGTGGCCTCAGTATAATCAGAAAGAACATAGGTACTTTTCTGTTTTCATTTTGCAGTGCCATCTAAATTTTCCACGATGGACATGTTTTACTTTAGTGAATAGAAGAAACATTTTTTTGTAACACGGGTAGGTAGTTTTAATGATGTTTTTGTGTAGCACCCGGGCCATTTGTACTTTTTTTTTAAGTGAGATGAGGGGCCCAGTTGGGATGCTAGGAACACCAGGCCACTGATAGTCTGCGGAATGATTCAGGCACTCTTTAGATCTGGGAGTGGGGTTAATGTTGTTGATCATCAGACTTCCACAGCAGCAGAAACTGAAATCCACAGTCCCCACCAGGGTGGTTTCCCTGGTGCCAGGGAGCTGGCCTGATGGGAGAGTGGGCCCAGTCTGCGGGGACCATTCCAGAATGAGCCCTGTAATCTCTCACCAGCGGTACCACTTGACTTTGACAGGCATGTGTTTTTCTCATCTTTAAACCACTTTGAGGGCAGCCCTGTGCTGGCGCTTTCTGAGGGCAACACACGTTTCTGTTAACCCACAGTTACTGGAAGCCGCAGAGAGCCAGCATTTAGGCACTTTTTAGCGGTTTCACCATTGAGTGCAGTTTGCTCTGAGGGAATTTTCCTATTTTGGCTTCTAATACGCTGATGAATTATTGAAATTTCAATTACTTTCGGTTCCCAAGTTAGCAGGATGGAGACATCCAACATATTTAATATGAAAAGCTTTCCAGTCGCTTTTAGAGAAGGGTTGGCGTAGAAGGGGTTGGCGTCAGGGATGGTGGGGGTGCAGCTCCGCTCCTTCTGTCTCGGGGACTAAAGTGCCATGTGGCCTTGGCATCCCTTAGCCCACTGCTGCTCCAGGTGAGCCCCTGGCCGGGACCTGTGTCAGCATCTTCCTGGAGCTTGCAGGTTCCTGGGCTTCGTCTCCTCTTGCCAGTCAGAATCCCTGGAGGTGGTGCCCTAGACTTCGTGGGTTAACATCCTTCTGGGACATCCTGGTGCACTGATGAGTTTGGAAAACCCTGCCTGAGATGTGCCGGCGCTAATTCTTCCCAGTGGGGCCTGGTGCCCGTTCGTAAGATCACTTGGGTGCTGCAGTTGGTGTGCCCTTTCAGGCAGACATGGTACACAATGATGAAACTGTGACCAAGGTCGTCAGATCAGTTCTAACAACTCTCCTCACTTACTTGGAATAATTCTCTCTGGAAGTCAGTGAGCTGTAACCACAGAGAAGCAGGATTTGGACATTTAAATGCCTTGTAGGTAAACGTGTGTTCTCTGTGTGATTGAAGGGGCCCTGTATTTCTTTATACTGAAGTGCTATTTAGATGTTCCTTCCCACTGTCCCTGGGGTAATCCCATCTCCAAGTCCCTTGGGGAGAAACTGTGGGTGCGTCTTCAACTCATCACCTCACCCTCACCTTCTTCCCATGCAGGTCTCGCTCCCACACCAGGCGTGCGGAGTAACTTGTAGTTCCTCAAACACAGCGTGTCATCCAGGCTCTTCTCCCCACCCCACCACCAAAGCCAGCCCCTGACTCATCTGGTCCGTTGCAACCCTGAGCACCTGTGAGACTCCGCTCACCAGCGGGCCTCACTCTTCCCCGTTTCTGCCTCCTGCACTCTGGATGGATATTTACAGCAGGAACGTGCACGTGTGTTGACATTGTCTCCCTCCTCTGAGCTCTGAGTTCCACGCGAGTACGGATTTCCTCCTGGTTCTCTCTCTTATGCCTAAGACGGTATCAGGCATACGAAGGAATAAACATCCCTTAAAGGTGGTCATTCTGCTTCTGCCCATAGTTCCAGTGCCCTAAGAACCTTGTTCCCCTCATTCTTGTGAAGAACAGATGCCGGCCAGCCAGCGGCGGGTCTGTTTTAAGAGCACGGTACATTTTACCTTCAACCAACTTAGCCTTTCAGTGAAGCTGATTTCTTACCATAATGAAAGCTCTGCCCTCCAGCCTTCTGGCTGTTTTGCCCTTTGGTGGGGAAACCCACCCACTGTGTCTGAAGGCATTGTTATTTCAGGTTCGGGAGCTTCAAACTCGACTACAGAGCGTGCAGGCCACCGGCCCCTCCAGCCCTGGCCGCCTCACTTCCGCCAACCGCCCGGTGAACCCCAGCACCGGGGAGCTGAGCACGAGCAGCAGCAGCAATGACATTCCCATCGCCAAGGTGAGCTCCGGGGTCGACGGGAACATCTACTGTTATCTGGAAGCGCCAGCCTCAGTGGGGCAGGCTGTGCGGCATGCAGTTAGCTCAGCCGCCCCCCGGGGGCTTCCCGGGGTCTCGCACAGGCCTCCTGCATTGGACCTGCAGGGAGAGATAACCCACTAATAGTTTTAAGTCTCTCTCAGCTGCAACCTGGATGTCAGCTCACATTAATCAGCCGGCTGGAGCACGTCACAGCTGACAGGTCGTTGTGGAGAGTGAGATGTTTTGTCAGGTTCTGCAATACTAAGGGGGGTGGATGGAGAGGTGCTGTCCGGTGTCAAGGTTCAGCCCAGGAGGGAACCCTGAGTAAGGAACCAGTGATAGCCCTGCTCACAGGACCCACAGCCCTGCCAGCAGATAAATAGATGATGATGAGCTGGCCGTGGCAGCTGTGAGAAGTTGCCCCGCTGGTACCCACAGCATCCCCGCTCACGAGTCTGCCCCAGAGAGACTGTTCAAATGACGCGTGTCCTCTTCCCTGGTAGCCCAGCCAGCCTCCACAAGAAGGTTGGTTCTGAACCATCAAGTTTATCAAGTCAAGCCAGAGTTTCTCAACTAGATGTGACTTTGTCCCTCAGGAGATAATTGGCAATGTCTGGACACTTTTTGAGGGTCACAACTGGAGAGCTACTGGCATCTTGTGGCTGGAAGCCAGGGACACTGCTAAGCATCCTATAGTGCACAGAACAGCCTCCCACCCCCACCCCAACCGCCACCCCAGAGAACATCTGACCCAAAGTGGTGGTGGTGCTGAGGTTGAAAACCCTGTGCAAAGCAGATGGTAGAAAAATTGGACATGTGAGTCATTTTTAAGAACTGATTAATCAGGGTAGTTACCGTGGTTGAGGAGTAGGCCTGTATAAACACAGTCTCAATAGTTTATATGGGGAGCGATGTGTTGTTTTTTGATCATTTTTTGTCTTGTTCGTTAAGATTGCTGAGAGGGTGAAGCTATCAAAGACCAGGTCTGAATCTTCATCGTCCGATCGGCCGGTCCTGGGCTCAGAAATCAGCAGCATAGGGGTGAGTGTGCGTGAGAAGCAAGGCAAGACGGTACCCGGTAGAGCTGCACAGTCAGCGGGGCGGCCGTGAGGGGAGGGCTTCCAGAGTCCCTCTCCAGTACGCCAGTTAGGTATAGCAATAAATCATACCCGATTTCCTTCCAAAGGATCAGAGTGAAACGCATGGTGGTTTCCACATGGTGCATTACTTCTTCACCTTTATGGGAGATTTCTTTTCTTCTCTATCTGAAACCATTTAGAAAGAAATGATTTAGGTCTAGTTACTGGCAGTGTACATGAAAGTCTTGAAGTAACTGCTTCCTATCATCCTGCTACCCCAGAGACCGAGTGAGTCAGGAAGCTCTAAAAGAGCTTTGCCTTGTTCACATCCCTCTTGAAAGGGAACGTGCTCTCCAGTGAGGATGAGCGCACCTGTGAAGTGTGAGCGCACCTGTGAAGTGTGGCCTGACGCTGTGATGGGCCGGAACCTTCTCGCTCAGTACTAGAGTGCTCATTAGCAGAGCCCTGAACCCCCTGGGGCTGTAGGCTGATGAATGGTGAAAAGGGAGTCATTTCAGTTCTCTGGGGATGTCTCTGAGGATTCGGGGTGAGGCTGAGAAATCCAGCTGTTTGACCCTCAGGGGTAGACAGAACGTGAACAGCACTTTTAAGACCCTAATTCAGAATTTTGTGCTGGGCAAAAGTTGCATGCACCCAGATTCCACGCCAAAGCCAAATTCTGAAAATGAAGGAGTCAGATGCTCTCCTTGGCTGCAGCCGCCAGAGATGAGGGCCGGGGATGGCAGGGTGTTAGGAAGGGGAAAGGGAGTCCAGACTCTGTTTAATAGCCAAACTTTTAGGACTCTGAAGAGGCCTCATCCGCCATGCCAGCTGCCCAGCAGCACGTGCTCTGAGGATGCAGCTGCATTTTGAGCCTGTTTTACATACTGCTTTCACAGTAGTCACCTTTTCATACTCGAGTTATATTATACAAACTGAGAAGGATTGGGGGAGCTATCTCCTGGGGCTCGGTTCTCAAGGAGCATCAGCTTTAAACTGTTTTGCATGCAAAGCATGCCTGGGGACCAGGGTCCCTGCAGTGACGCTGTCCAGAGGGAGATTAATGCTTACCTGTACAGGTATCCAGCAGTGTGGCAGAGCACCTGGCCCACTCTCTTCAGGACTGCTCCAACATCCAAGAGATCTTCCAAACACTCTACTCCCATGGATCTGCCATCTCGGAGAGCAAAATTAGAGAGTTTGAGGTGGAAACGGAGCGGCTGAATAGGTAAGGAGGAATCCTGTGTATCTCAGTGGTGGCATGAGGGGGAAATGCACTCCTTTCCCTTCCAAGGATCAGTTCCCATTGGCTTAGGAATTGTGACATAGAGGGATGCTGTCAGGCTTGGGGGGTGGGGAGTTTCCATCATCCTCTTCATCACAGGAGGCTTCCAGCAGCCTGGGCTGGCTTCATGGGCAACATGTGACTTGTCACCACATACACATGACCTCATGCTTAGAAAGACCCCACACTTGCTTTACTGCTCTGCTGTCATTGTTTCAAATTCTGAGTAGTTTAAACCAGCCTCCCACGCCCCTCCACTTTCATTTTGCCCTGGCCCTAGTGAATTATGGCTTAAGTCCGGGGAATAGTCTGTGTAGAATGACAAATAGGTCAGATTGTCAAGATGGCTACCAAGCATGCAGGCCTGAGCTGCCGGGAACCACAGAGAGAAGCCCTGGAGTGTGGAGTCAGCATCCCAGGGGCGCCTGCAGCTCCCCAGAGCCAGCAAAAGCAATCTGATCAAGGCGTTCCTGGGATGGACCGGGAGAGCGGGTCTAACCCTCCTTGCTCTAAATAAGGGTTGCTTAATTTTATTTAGACTTTTTGCAAATGTGCACATCCCTCCATCCCTACATCCTAGCCTACTTAGTTTTGATTTTCTAAGTAGGTCTAATTGTCCTACTTAGAATAGTTTTACCATATCCCTGGTTTTATGGATTCTTCCTAAATCTCATGATAGAGGTGGTTTGAATTTGTACTGCAGTCTCTTGACAAAGACTGGCTTGTGTGTTGTCCCAGCAATGAAAGAGAGTTGCTAAAAAAGCCAAGGAGAAGGACCAGGGCCAAACCATGGCAACTACTCTGACTGAGAATTGGTTCTGCAGTGGCCGAATGGCGTGTTGAATGGCATCCATGTGTGGTGTGGCTGCCCGGCCTACCAACCTCCAGTGGGAAGGCAAAGTAAGAACTAGAAAGGCTTATGAACTAACCAGGAAGAAATGCGGATACCGTGCCCCGTCCACCACTGCTTCATGCCGTTTCCCTGGTGTATGGCAAACCTGAATAAATTGAATTATCCCGTTAGTCCTTACTGATTTGAAGCTGTTTAATATAGCACTTGAGAACTAAGGAAATGTGGCAATCTAGGTCATTTTAAATCTTGAAATTAAATGGTTTCCTTATTAAATTCAAAATACTTAAGAGTGACAGCCCTGATGACTACCTTACAGCAGTGAAGGAGCAGCCCTCTCAGTGCCACAGGCTGGGAAGTGCCTAAAAATTGAATCAGATATGCCCTTTGCAATCTAACGAAGTCAGGTGCCTTCAGGGCCCTCTGTTTAGTGAGGATCTCAGCAGATTCTGGGATTAACAAGCCTGCTTTATAGTTGAATTCGGGGGGAGGTTCCTTTCTCCTCAATTATGTGCACCTAGGAGAGAGCAGAGAAGGGGGAACTATGTAGTGCCTGTAGATCACATTATCATGGTGTTTAACAGCTTACAAAAGGCTCTCACAGACAGCCACTTAATCCTCAACTTGGGAGGGCAGAATAGTCCTGTTTTACAAATGAGAAAACAGAGACTTCAGTGTTGGGTGACTTGCCTTAAATTCAGGGCAATTACATGGCCTAACCAGTTCTGACCCCTGCCCTTCGACCTCACCTCCCTTGTTTTTTCTGTGTTACCATAGCTACTGATAGAACATGGGAGTTCTTACAAATAATCTACCAGTATGCCCTGGTGTGTGTTATTTAACTACCTGTCTCAAAGTTGGAGTCTCATTATGCTCCAAAAAATGACAGCTTTTAACCTGTGTTTGTGTCGGGGCAGCAGGGGGAGGTCACTCCTACTCAAAAGTGTGTTTCCTCGTTCAACACATCTTTGTTGGGCTGGGCGATTTGGCATGCAAAGGAGAGTAAAACAGACAAGATCCCTGCTTTCATGGAGCTTGTACTCTGTTGAGGAAGCTAAACGAAAAGCAAACAAATAAATAAGAGTGTAAGAAATCTCCAAGTAAGTAGGACACTGGGATAGACTAGCAGGAAGGGTTGATTTTAGACAGGTGGCCAGAGAGGGCATCTCTGAAGAGGGGACATGTAAATTGAGCTTTAAGGGGAAAAAGGAACAGCCATATGACAAACTAGGGAGAGTCTTGTGAGCCAACTTACCAACTGCAAGGCTGGAGGTGGTTGGCATGAAGTCAGAACTGCCCGAAGGTCAGTGGCCCTGAAACAGAATGAGTGAAAGGAGGAATCCACAACGTGAGGAGCCTGAATAGGCAGGACTGGATGGAATATGGAATTTCAAGGCAATGGGCAAAGTTTACTCTTTATTACAAGTGTCACTGGAAGCTATCAAAGGGAAAAACAGATCTGATTTAAATTTTGAAAGATCTCCCAGGTTTGAAAGATTGCTTACAGATCAAGTGACCAAAGCTATGGAAGGGTAGACTGAATCCCAAGAGCAAGAGGAGAAATACTGATGATATTTTTGGTACTTGAAAGAAACTTAATGGTGCCCCACCCTTACCATCTAAGCCAGGGTGTGAGGCAGGATAGGAGCTGAGACGGTTTTGCCGTGGCCCAGTGTGGCCCGTGTGGAGATGATGTGAAGCGGCAAATGTATGTTTGGTGGTGAAAATCCATGGTTGTAAGAAAAAGGGATGGTCTCGAAGAGTCTCAGTTGTCTTACCTGTAGTGTTGGGTATATATATATGGTGTTGGCATTTACTGAGATGGAGCAGATGGGAGAGGATAAGTTTGGGGGAGAATCAAGAGTCCCATTTGGGACTGTTAAATTTGAGATGTCAGTGTGAAACCTTGGATACGGAGACTGGCGCTCAGAAGAGAGGTCTGGGCTGAGGGAATTTGCAAGTCGTGGGAACGTAAATGCCTGTTAAAGTCATAGGACTGGATATAATCATCCCGGAGGAGATTGTCGATACAGGAGGGGCCCAGGACTGAGTCTGGAGGGAACATCAACCCTCACAGATTTTACAGAGAAGAGGGAGCCAGCAAAGGAGACAGAAGAAATGACCTGTAAGATGGGGAGAAAACCAGGAGACACCTGTCATGACCAAGTAAAGGAGAGCATTTTAAGAAAGGAGGAGTAAACTTTGGGCTCAACAAATTGTAATTATTGCTGTGATGCTGTTTTTCGTCTGTCCCTGTGGAGGGTGCTGTACTGAAGCATACCATTCATACCGCTGAGAAGGGCGTGAGGTCACACGGTTGACCCTTTTCCTTGGTACCTCTCCAGAGCCAAGCATGGTGCCTGGCAAACAGCTCGTGCATGGCTGGTTGGGAAATAATCTGGGGGTTTATTTTCGATTTCTAATCCACGAAGTATTCAGTAACGCTTTAGCTTAAATTGCTTCCTTCGTGACTTCTGGTCAGTTACATTTGCTAAAACGTCTGACAAGCTCGTCTCCTCACGTGCATTTCTGGCCTGAATCTAGAGTAGACGGCTAAAGTCTTGGCAAATGTCACCCTAGCGTAAAATGGTGAAAGTGATTTTTCTTCCTTTGTAGCCGTATTGAACACCTCAAATCCCAAAATGACCTTCTGACCATCACCCTGGAAGAATGCAAAAGCAATGCAGAGAGGATGAGCATGCTGGTGGGAAAATACGAATCCAATGCCACGGCGCTGAGGCTGGCCCTGCAGTACAGGTGGGGAAGTGGGGCGGGGCGGGCGACGAGCCACTTTAATTAGAAATAACACCCACAGCAAGCTTCTGCATAGAAGGAGAAAACAGGCTTTTAGGAAACAGAAGTAGGGGATGGACTAGCAAATGCTAGCATGATGCATATTGAAAATCAATTAGCACCCTGGTAGCAATTAAGAAAATAAGGGTAGTAGCTATGGTATTAGTAACAGGTATGTTCCTGTTAGCATAGTGAACTTAAATAGTACTTCATTCCAGTAATATCAGTCAAAGTATTAACTTTTGTGTTACCTGTTCACTTGTTCTTTCCAGTCTTTTTTTCTAGTCTTTATTCATACTTGTGTATATTTTACATTGTTGCAAATCTAGTGCATTCTCTTTCCTCAGTTTGTTATAGTTTTGTAATGGTTTTTAAAAGTCTCTATTTATTTTGACTGGCTGTGTCCCTTCCATCAGGTTTATATGGTGTTATTTTATTACTCATTTATCTAAAAGATATTTAGACTTTTGCAGACTCCTGATATTGAAAAAAATTCTACGGTGAATAATTTAATACCAAAACCTTCCTTTTGAGTATTTTCCTCAAGATAAAATCCCTGAAGCAGGAATTATAGGTCAAAGGATATGAATAGTTTCATGGCTCTTCAGGCCTGCTGCCAATTTTTTCTCCATAAAAATATGATTCATTCATGGATAAGCAAGTGGTATATGAATTCCCACTTTTTTTTTCAGCCTCATCAGCTTTGAAATTTATCTATTTTTAAATTACCGCTTGTTTAATGGCCACAAAACTATGTTTTGTTATTGTTTTCAAAGATGTATTTTATTAGTGTCACCACTTAGGCATATTCGCCAAAGTCCCAGAGGAATGATTGTATCTTACTCTTGGCATCCTTTAAAAAAAATTCAATATTGTTTTAAGAAACATTGCTTCTTCAAATAAACAATATCAAGCCAAAATATATGAGCCCAAACTAGAGAGCAGTTATACAGGCTTACCGACACACCAAAGCAAATAGATAATCACTTACAACAACTCTCGAAACAGGCTGTTCTGCACCCACAGTCCACCTTTCACCCTTATAGCTGAAACAGTGTCCCAGCCATCTCTAACCTGAAAGGTGGACTGACCTTGAGAGGAGGAGCTGCCAGCACCCAGAGCCAGGCCTTGGACCTTTTTCCTTATCTCTTAGTAAAGGAAGATGAAAGTAGAGACATTGAAAAAGCAGTGTGTTGACTAAACAATGAGTGATGCAGCACTTCCCTGCTCAGCTTGCGGGGAGTTTCACCCCTGCAGGCGTCTTGTCCAGGGTGACTCAGGCATTACGCACACACTGCCTCCGGCGCAGACGTGGTCCGTGTGGGGTCACGGGCGGCAGCGGCTTCAAAAGGTCACTCTTTGATCCTCTCCTTGTGTACCCAAAGAGAGACTGATTTTCTTCCTCTTAGAAATCCAAACTCAAACTCTTGTCGGAGACTTTTGTGAAGGTTTCGTAAGACACTTTTGCAAGCATCTAACAGAACTCTCTGTGATGATGGAACTGTTCTTTGTGCTGTCCAGTATGGTAACTGCTAGCCACACGTGGCTATTAACCACGTGAAACGTGGCTATTGCCATGGAGGGACTGAATTTTAAATTTTAGTTAAGTTAAATTCCTTTTAGCTTACATATCCACATGTGACTAGTGGCCACTCTACTGAATAGAGCAAGCCTAGGTCAAAAGAGTCCCCTTTTCTAGGGCACTATGTGAATTACCTATTTTTGTATGACGATTTATTATGTCACAGACTAGGGTCAGGAATCTGGGAGTGATTTGTCTAGGTGGTTCTGGCTCAGGGTCTCTTGTGAGGATCTGGTCAAGCTCTTTGAACCAGAGCTGCGTCAGCTGAAACCTAAAGTGGGGCTGGCAGGTCTGCTTCGAAGATGCTGTTTGGTAGAGTCCTTAGTCCTTCACTGGTTGTTGGCTGGCACCTGAGTTCCTAACCATATGGGCCTCCCCACAGGGCTGCTAGAGAGTCTTCAAGACCTGGCAGCTGGCCCCCTCTAAAGAGGAGGACCCCAGGGGGCAAGTGAAGGGAGGAAAGAGACCAAGATAGAAATCCCCATGTTTTTTTAATAACCTAATCTTAGATGTGACATCTCATCTGTTCTGCCCTATTCCCTTAGTCACAGAAACCAACCCTGGAGCAGTGTGGAGGGGATTGCACAAGGGTGTGGATACCAGGGTATAGACATCAAGGTTAGGTGGGGAGCATTGTGGAGGCTAGCTGCTGTGGGTGTGTCACCTTTCCCTATTAGCTGATCATCAAAAAGGCAACAGACTTGCCTCTCTCATCTTTATTGCTTCTCTTGTATTTTTCTAGATCCTGGTTTAAAGTGTAAGGGGAAAAAAAAAACCGGGCAGGGGAGGGGCTCACATAGCCAAGCAAGCCCCTGGCTCTGTCCAGGAGTGTCCACGGCTGTTTGCTGACATGGGCGGCGAGGCTGAGAGGCAGGTCCTGAGCTGCTTCCCACCCAGGGCGCAGCGCTGTGTAGAAGGGCCCACCATCCTCTGCTGTGTGCTTCTGTTCCAGTGAGCAGTGCATTGAAGCCTACGAACTCCTCCTGGCGCTGGCCGACAGCGAGCAGAGCCTCATCCTGGGGCAGTTCCGGGCGGCCGGTGTGGGGTCGTCCCCTGGTAAGCGTGACCTGAGTCCCTCCGCCCCTTCCTCCTCGTCCCCCGCCTCCTTTGCTCTGCTGCCCATATCTCGGCTGTTGGCATTGGAAGGTCTCCCAACTGCATGCAGTTCGCTTGTCAAGTGGGTTTTTCATTTTTTTTCCTCATGACCGATTGAGTAAATTGTTTATGTTGAATGCAGCAAGAACTGGGGTGGAAACAGAATTACAGACAAGTTAAAACAAACAAGCCGTCTCAGGAAACATGCTCTCCCGGGGCAACAGTAGAACCAGATGGAGCGGGAGGCCCACATTCGTGATCGAAGGGACTGGCTTTCCTACAGCCTCTCTCTGCGATGCTGGTTTTTAGGGGTCCCTTTGCTCTCCGTGAGGCCTTTGCCTCATCTTGCTGCTTTCGTTGGCTGTGCTTTTCCTCCAGGTTAGTTTTGAAGTGTGGATTCCCCGTACCTGGTCTCCAGGTGTTTCAGGAACGCAGAGGGACCCTTCACACTTTGATTTTGTCAGCTTCAGGGAATGCCCACAGCATGAGCCCCGGCCCTGCAGCAGATGGAGGTGTCTGCTGGCCACAGCGCCTCCCTGCCCTGTCCCCCGGCCTCAGGAGCCATGTGTCCTGTTGGTGTGGTTTGTCTCTCCAGATCTGCACTGCCCCCCACTTCTGTCCCTCAATTTTGAGTAACTGGAAGGGGTATTTACTGAAAAAGACACAGATATGGCATCGTGGTTACCCACGTTGGCTAAAACTTCACCAGTGACTGTGGCTCTGGGCCTTGAGGTAACATGAGGAGGGTGGGAGTAGAAAAGCGTTTGGGAAGGAAGAGACCAGGGGACAAAGGGCGCCCCCTCTGGTCTGAGGCCTGCACTGCACCCTGCCTCAGCTGCCTTGGTAACAGCAGCTTCTCTGGAGAAGCCTTGGCAGGTAAACAAAACACTGAAGTGGCCAGACCGCTCCAGAGTCAAAGATGGGTGGTGCGGCCAGGCCACCTGTCATGCGCTGGCTTTTCTTCATGGGCTGTGAGCCCCCATTAGGGCTGGTCCTTCCAGGACCCACCTTGCACAGAAGGTCGCCATCGGGGCACCTCCCAAATGCATCTCCCCACTGTCCTCCTTGCTGGCTCCTCCTCTAGCTTTTGCACTGAATAGTCACGTATTTTTCCTCCTTCCCTTTTGACATGTACAAGAATCTGAAGCAAATCTGAGGAAAGGAAGTGTCCTGAGTATTAACTTCCTGTTTCATATCCAAGTCACCCAGCAAGAAAGCCAGCTTCCATTTCTACGGGTGGCCCTCCTCCACGCCCCTCCCTGGGGTTTGTGGGGGGGGTTCTTTTCTTTTTCTTTTTTAATAGTATTACCATCCCAGCTTAGAAGTAGAAACTCTGCCAGCATTTCCATTAGGAACTTCATTTTTCAGGGTCTTTTAACCAAACCATAAAACTTTATTCCTCCTATTAAACAGATCCTAAAATGATCTTGGCCTGCTGTCAAGTTTTTTTTTAATCTAAGTATTAAGGAACTCCATCAATTAACAGAAAAAAATCAGTCATCTTGTTTCTAGTTTTTATCAGAGGAATGTCTTAAACCATTCCATCCTCGAAAGGTACCTTTTATTAGGCTCATACCTGCTCAGCACAGTTGCTTGGGAGGAGCTGAAAGGACTTAAATAAACCTGCATTTGAAATGTTTAAAGTCAGTAATAAGATGCCTGTTACTAACGTAACCCTGGGTAGCTCATGGATCTGCTTAGAAAGTGAGGCAGTCAGTAATACTCGTGAGAATTCAGAGAGGTGTCAGTTGATGAGGCGTATGTAAAATATCTTACTTGTGGATGAAAAACAAGCATGAAAGTTGCCAGAGAAACGGCCAGAGAGGGGTCCAGGGCATCTTCGCCTGCAGGACACGTGCACCCACATGTCCTCCCCATTCTCCATAAAGTGGAGCATGGACTGACTTTTTAGCAGTTCCCTATTAAACCTCACTCTTGTGCTGTTGGTGGCAGCTGACGGGTCATTCTGTCCTAACGTGCCATGTGGTTGACCGGCAAGGCAAGTCCTAGTTGTAACATTTACCCACAGTGTCACTTACTGTGGGTTTTTCCTTTGTTTCTTGTTGACTACACAGACATTCCTAACGTTCATGCTGGATAATTTAGACCAGTGGTTTCAAACTGTGCCTGGTGAGCTGGCGGAGCTTTTTTGGGGCCTCACTGGTGGGCGAGAGGGTGCTGAGTATATGCCCCCCACCCCTGCCCGCTTCAGCCACTTCAAAAACATTTACCATTTTTGTATTGGCTTTGGCATAAGATTTCATTTATAAATACTTGGAAGACCACGGGTCTAGACTGTAGAGGCAACAAACCAGTGACATCTTGGCCAACACAGTTTCTGAAAACACAACGAGAATGTCTTGGGCAGGGCATTCACATCTGGCTCTGTGCTGGTGGCCACCACCCCTGATGTCTTGCCCCAGCCCAGTTACCTGGCTTCTCCAGGCATTTGAACTCACCCCTGTCTGTGACCAAGCTCCAAGGGAAAGGTGCAGTGCAGAACATCAGAGCCAATCTCGAGTTCTCATTTTAACCATTAGTTTTGTGGCATACCTACGCGAAGCTCTGAACAAAGCTGAGGACGTGTGGCGATACGGCACTGTCTGGCCTCCGTTTCTCCCTGCCCTCGCTCACCAGGAAGCACCATCCAACGCAGGGGAGAGCCGCCCCGCGGTGGACTTGTGGCTGAGTGGGAGGAGAGCCAGAAGCCTGGGGAGTCAGAAAATCAGAGCAGGTTAGAGCTGGACACAGACCCCACAGAGCACATTGGCCAGCCCTTCACTTGTCTTTGAGGACTGTGGAGCCCAGAGCAGAGAGTGCATTCCTGGGCACAGTTTCTAGGGGACAGAGCCAGGCCCAGGACATGGTCACTTCGTCAGCATCCCCTGCTGGCTCCTCTCTGCCCAGAGTGGGTACTGATTATCCAGGTTCACCTATCCAGACCAGTGCTGATTAACCCACTGGCTTCTCTGCACTGCAGGAGACCAGTCAGGGGACGAAAACATCACTCAGATGCTCAAGCGAGCCCACGACTGCCGGAAGACGGCCGAGAATGCCGCCAAGGCCCTGCTCATGAAGCTGGACGGCAGCTGCGGGGGCGCCTTTGCCGTGGCCGGCTGCAGCGTGCAGCCCTGGGAGAGCCTCTCCTCCAACAGCCACACCAGGTAATCCCGGCCTTCCTGCTGCGAGCTGGACGTGTGTCCCCATGTCGTCTGCTCACTAGACATGACGTGCGGTGCCCCAGCTCTTGAGGACTGTGAGGCTTGGGGGAGGGCAGAATTCTCCCCTAGCTTGCAGCCTGCTCCCTCCCCCGAGAGCCAGAGAATCAGAATAGGGGAGCTCAAAAGGTCCTTCTCGGTTTGCCAGTATGAAGGTTGCCGCCCAGAGAGAAGGGTGATTGGCTCAAGGAAGTGAAACCCAAACCTCCCTCCCTGTCCGGTGCTGTTTCCCCACTTCATTCTATCCTCCTTTTCTTTATAGTCCCTGATTTGCAAGAAGCATATGAGGGTGGCAAAGGCCCATGTGCTGCAAGTGGCTCTTAAGTGCCCAAGACCCAGACCACTGCATCCCATTTCTCTCCCTTCCTCGTGTGCTTCTGTCCTTTGTAAGCTGCCCTCAGGCATCAGCCTTCTCTTTTCCCATCTCTTTGCCTTGTAGAGTGATACCTTAATCATAGCACATGCTTAGCAGGCACTTAATGGTGAACCTGGGCTCAGGTTCAGTATCTGTGAATCTAAAAAACTGAAGTGGGTACTTGAAGAAGATGGGGAGGAAAGTGGTGAACACTTTGCTGAGCTGAATTTGCTGAAACTGTTGGGTTCTTTTGGATGTGGGTGGAGGGTCAGAATGAGACCTTTCTTATGATCTTCTCATTTCTTGCCCCCGAAGCCCCTAAAAACACGAATGCCCTCCCTTTATGTCCCAATTCTCAATCTACAAAGCACTTTATTAGAGATTCTTACATCCTACAAAAGACAGAAAGGGTAACTTACCCCATTTTTACAGGTGGGAAAACCTTGGCTCAGAGATGTGTGAGTAACTTACCTAAATAAAGTCACGTGGCTGATAGAAGGGAGAGAAGTCCGGACTCGAGCCCAGGCCTTCAGCAGCATGCTTATTATTCTTATCGCTACTCCAGGCTGGATCTCATGAGAAAGAAAACAGTGTCTGCTTACAAGTCAAGTGACCAAAGCCACATGAGGGTAGATTGAATTCCAAGAGCAAAAGGAGAAATACTGATGTTTTTGGTACTTGAGAGAAACGTAATGGTCCCATCTGTCCTTCCTGCTGGTGGGACCCAGCCATCTGCATCCATTTACCTGTCCCACACCTGGTGCCTCAGAAGAGAGGACCTTCCTGGTAACGCAGTTACATGGTGCCCACAAAATCCAGGGACTTACTTCCTTTTGACCCCAGCAAGGATTGTCTTATTCAGTGAGGTGCTATTTATCATTTGCTTTTTTCTTAAAACCAGCTCTTTCTGTTTAAACATGGAAAGCAGATGCTCTTCTTAATGACTTTTCCAGGTGTGTATAATCGGTCATGTCCAGGTTCGTGTAGAATGGAAACGCAGTTCTCATGTTGTCAGGGATACTGTTCTGTTGAATTCATGAGCAGAAGAATTGGGTTGACAGGAACTATATGCTGTTTCAGTAGCTTTTCAGGTGTATGTTAAAGAGGTTTTGCTCACACCTTCCCCACCCCAAAAATTACTGTGTTGTGTTGGGTCTGAATCAGAGACAAATTTAGAGTCAGTCAGGAGTGGGAACATTTTCTCACCAGCTGTTAGTGGAGACCCTGATTGTGAAGACTTCTTAGAAATATTTTAATATATAGATGAGTCTTCATTTTGAGACAGCCTTTTTAGAGGAACTTTATTTTAGATAATGTATTTTCTGTAAGTTGAGATAAATTCAGAACATAGTTTCTGTTTTCAAGGATGACCTCACTAAAGGATGGCCCTTGAACGAAATTCAGTCTTAAGTGGATCTCATCAAAGTACAGAGGCCTTTAGCTCAGACTTCATTCAGTTCTCCTTAAAAAGTCCCTTGTACACTCCCACACAAATCAGAGCAGCTCAGAGAGGGTACATAGGAATCACACAGCAGGCATTCATGTGGCAACATGCATTCTTAGGACCTGATACAACTAGACTACTTATGTTCATTGTGGCTCAGAAAATAGTCCCAAACCACCAGACACTTTCGTAATTATAATAATTTTGTTTGCAAATTTTTACCATGGCACTTAAACATCCTCCCTGTCCAGATGATGGAAGAAGCAAAGACAAGAAGCTTTCTGAGCTGGAGCTCCCTGTGGCTCTGTAAATCCCTTCCCCGCCCCCTGTAGCCCACTGGCGTAGAGAATTCTGATCAGAGCATCAGCCAGTGCTGGCCCAGCTCTCAGGAGAGGAATGCTGAGTACCAGGCCCCAGGCACCTTCCTGGAAGCACAGGGCAGCTCCTGATAACAAGAGGGTCCTGGTTCTGCAAGGGAGCAGGAGATGGGTAGTTAGCAGCATAGAGAATAAAAATGGTAGCCAGTCCCTCAACTGACTCTGTAGTCAGGAGCCCAGGGATGCTGCTGTTTCATTTTTGAAAGATTTCAGTTTTTTGAGAAACATGGCTGTGACTTTATCTGAAAGTATAATTGTCATAATGGACAGAGTAACAAGGCAGTATGGGTTGCCTGGATAGCTTTATCAACGTATCACAACAAAGAGGCAAATGGACTGAATTGTTGAGAAATGGGATATAGGAATCCTTCATCAAGTGCGCCCTTTTTGTCAAGCATCACGATTTCAGGTCATTCAGTGGAAGCATTGATCTAAACCTGCAAAAGGACGTGGGCCCAGACAGAATAAGCCACAGCAGGTCTCCCCTCGCAGAGCTAGGGACTGAGTCCCTTTTGTCCTGCCATTGGGTGGGGCTCGGGGTGAGTCCTGTGAGACGGGTGACTGTACCCTTGCAGTGAGTGAGCCTCTGGGAACCTCTGGGGAGCCAGGGTCCCACCTGGCTGCCCACTCACACAGCGGCACACCCCCCACATTGGAGTGGAGAGTCGGGGAGCTCCCAAGTGCCCACCCCTCACCCTCTAAGCCAGTCTTGATTAAGTTTCACTGGAGTGGAAAGAAAGTTTGAGGACAGTTGGAATCCTATCCATTGAGAGGGTGAATGGGATTGAAACAGCCATCCAGTTAGGACGGGCCTGTGCCACCACCATCAGCAAGCTTCAGGGGATGAGACTCAGACTAGGTCTGGATGTTTTAATAGTCATCTTTCCTTTCCTCTGAAAAAGAGGGGTGCTTTCCCCATCCAAGTAACAGGGGAGTCCATCCAAAGCCCTTGAGATTAAGGCTTAGAAGTGTTAGTCATTTCTAGAGTCCAGCTCAGACACAGTCCCCCACGTGGCAGCATGGTGCTCAAGCCAGTCCGCATCCAGCCTGTGCCGCCCCCACACACGGCTTCACCTCCTCCTTGCTGCAGACAGACTCCCCAGGTGACAGAAACCAGCACGCCTCCTCCTTTAGTGCACAAGGTGTCAAGTAAGAAAATCCTGGGAAAGGACATCTTGCCCAGCTGGGCTCAGGTGCCCTCCTGCTCATCTTCGGCCATGGCAGTTCCCACGGGAGCCACAGGTGAAGAGAAGGAGTCAGTCCCAGAAAGGGAAGGTGTGTAGTCAGCAGACCAGAACATGGCATCTTTGAAAATGTGACCCCATCTAATTTTAATCCAGCAAGGTTCCTGTTATGTGGATGCTCTTGAAACTTTCTTTTTCCCCTTAGTATTATATTTTCAGACGTCTTTCTGTGGGTGTCATTCTTTTCAGTAGCACCCAGTCTTCCTCTGGATAGCAGTCCATCGTGTATTTAAACACCTTCCTGTTGTTGGATGTTAATTTCCAGTTTTTTGCTACTTGAACCCTGCTGCAGTCACCATCTTTGTCCTTATACCTGTCCCCCTGGTGTGATTTCTGTGAGACCAGTTCTGAGAAGTAGAATTTGCTGGCTCAAAAATGACTCATGCTTCAAAATGGGAAAGGTACAGCTCAGAGGTAGAGCACATGCTTAGTGTGCACAAGGTCCTGGGCTCAATCCCCAGTATCTCCATCTGATAAATAAATAAACATAACTACCCCCTCCCCCCAAAAAAGTTCAAAGAATGAACTCTATTAAAAAATTTTTGTTTAATGACTAATGCTTCAAATGTCAAATAGCCCTCTGTACATGATTCAGCCAATGTGAGGGCCTCTTCCTCCACACTCTCGCTAACATTGGGTAATGTACATTTTTTTTTAATTTGTCCAATCTCTAGCCAAAAAAAATACTCTTAATATTTTACTTTGTACTTCTTAATTATTAGCGATGTTGCAAATGATTTACAGTCATCCCTTGGTATCCATGGGGGTTGGTTCTAGGATCCTTGTGGATTCCAAAATCCAAAGATGCTCAAGTCCCTTATATAAAACATTATAGTAGTTGCATTATGGCCCGTAAACATCCTCTCATGTATTTTAGATCATCTCTAGGTTTCTTACAATATCTCATATAATGTAAATGATGTGTAAATAGTTCTAAATACAATGTAAATACTGTGAAAATAGTTGCCAGCACATGGCAAAGTCAAGTTTTGTTTTTGGAACCTTCTGGATTTTTTTCCCAAAAGTTTTCCATCTGCAGCTGTTTGAATCCACAGATGTGGAATTCATAGATACAGAGTACCGACTATAAAATGTTTAATTTTTGTGATGCCAGAGAAATTGTGAGCAACAGTGTAAGTGTCAGGTCTGGATGGTGTTTACCCGGTGTGTTATCAGCCACTGACTCAGGAATAGGTTCGTATTGTTTTAGAGATGCCTGTTTTCCAGCAGCATTATGATGGCACCTTATGAACAGCAACAGAGTTGGACTCTGTCTTCTAAATCTCTCTCTCAGTTTCCCTTCCACTGTCAGCTAAATTCTTAGGAGCTTTCTGGAAGCAGGCAGATTTTGAGGACTTCAGCTGTGTGGCAGCAGACTTCCCTTGCCTGTGCCGTCATCCTATGGGTATACACAGGGGATTCGTTCCAGGACCCACCATGGCTTCCCCTAACCTCCCGGCATAAACACAGTACTATATTTATTTTTACAAATCCGCATGTAAGTTCAAACTCGTAGTGTTCAACAGTCAACTGTATTTTGTTAAATAAGTTTTTTTCACTGAAGCATTTCTCCTAGAGATTCCTGATCATCATTTGAGAGCATACAGACCTAAGAGATTTGGATTGTGTTTAATGGTTTTAGTCCTTTGCAACAAAGAATTTGAAGGAAAAAAAAAAAAGAAGGGGTGGGAGTTACCCAGCACAATACTGAAAGATATAGGCAGCTGACAAGGCAGGAGTGGGGCCACATGTCACCTGCCCCTTCCCCTTCCTTCAAAGAAATTTAAAATGCTCAGCCAAGTGAAGGCCCCCTGGTTGTACTTTCCTTCTAAAAAAAAGAGCTGCACCTTGGTGGAAATAAGATCTCAACTGGAGCCGGGTAAGACACTGATTAAAACTTAAGGAGAAATCCATCCCTGGTTTCCAAGGCAAAAGAAATGAAATGTTCTTTTCACTCTCTTCCAAGGCAAGATGAGGAAACTGAAGAAAAGTGGGCTTTTCTTCTAAAAAGCAGGATGGCAGTTGTCTTGAGGATAAGGTGGGGACCTGGTAGAGAGGAACAGAAGAGGGAACCTTTGAAATGGATGGCTGCTTGGAGAAAGTGCATCCAGCCCACTGTGACCAGAGCAGGCAGAAGAGGGGTGAGTCCCAGCTCCCTCCCTCAACCCGCAGAGCAGAGCCAGCACGCAGGGCCCTGACCCAGCTCCTCAAAAAAAACAAGAAAAAAAAATGGAGAAAAAACACCAAAAATGTGTGGCTCCACCAGGACGGGCTGAGGTTTGCTGCCTCTGCAGCCCTCCCCACCATCCTTCCCCCTGGACAACTGAGCTCACCTGGCATTCCAAGCCAGGAGAGTTAATGGGTGACGTAACCCTCGCCCAGCCCCTGGCAGCAGGCCCTGGGAGAATGAGTGAGCGGCAGCTCCTTTGCCTGCAGGAGGCCACTGAAAAGGCCCCGCTTCCTCACCTTTTCCCATTGTCAAACTCACATTCCACAGTGGAATGTCAGAGCCCAAAGCAGAGTTGTAATGAACCTCGCCTGATCTGGTCCCCGCTGGTGGCCTGGAAGGCAGAGAGAGAAGCAGAGGGGTTTCCAGATGGAGGTGCTTATCTTGAAATTAAACTTTCCCCTGGAAGAGCATTTTACAGCCCGGAGCTTCCCACAGGGGTAGAATCTGTGGAGGAAGATCTTTTGATCTTTTTTCTTTTTCTGCCTTTCTTAAAACTATCTCCACAGCAGGGATGGTGAAACAAAATCCTTCCCCACCTGGCCAGGGATCGGGCCCCAGGCCCTTGAGGGCTCCAGGACACCCCGAAGCTTGGCAGCCTCTGCCCACCCTCGTTCGTGTCCCCCAGACAGCTCTGGTGGGGGGTCAAGTCTGGCCAGGCACTTGCTGCTTTGCCTCTCTCTCTCACAGGCAGGGCCTGCCAGGCAGCCACGTCCCTAGAAGGGGCCCTGAATCTGCTGGTGTATGCGGCGGGGCCACTGGCACAGCTGTCCCTCCCCCTCCTCCAGAGCAGATGCTGTGTAGGGGCTGTGGTCTCCTTTGTACAACCAGGTGACATGGGATCTGTTAGTATCCCCACTGTATCACAGCCTGGAAAGGCTGGGCAGTTTGCTTTGGGCAAAACGCCAGGCAGCGGCAGAGGAGGGACGTTGTTCAGGTCTGCCTGCTCATAATCACTGGGACCCAGCAAATCAGCCCAGGAACATAGTGGCCTCTCCCTAGAGAATTTGAGATAGGGTCCTATTACCTTCCAGGCTGCTTGGCAAATGCCCACTTACCCTGTGGGGTAGACTAGTGGTTGTCAGACCCCGGCTGGGCCTCAGAATCAGTGGGAGGGTGCACTGAAACTGACAGCTGGGCCTTACTCCGAGAGCTCTCAACTCTAGGACTGGGGGTGGGGCCCTGGAACATGCATTCCTAAAAGGTTCCCAGGGGGTGCTGCCATGGCCAGTCCTGTGACTACTCTTTGATAGCCACCAAGGGACACCAGTCCTGCTCAATGGAAAATCTGCCAACATAGTATCCTTTGAGGGTCTGCAGAATAGTTAGAGAACTCTATTTCTAGTGCCCTTTAACTTTTGAAATTTATTTTTTGAGTGACAGGAAACAAAGGGTGCCTCAAGCATGAATGTTGTATTTCTAAAGAAAGCATTTCAAAGAAAATGTGACAAAAAGGTCACCCAGGTGTTGGTTTATCTCTGTTTTCCGTGTGTTTAAAATTTTCCAAAATGATTTTTAATGAAAAGAAGGACTCAAGTTGTAAAGTGAACCTCTGTTGCTGGATTTCCTACCTGAAGCCTCCTCCCGACTCACGGGAAGGGAAGTGTTGCTAGTTCCCAGCACCGCACTGTCTAAACACACCACACCTGGGAGCGCACACTCAGCCCTGTGGAATGCTCCGTGAGCAGTGCCACCACTTCAGTTCCCTCTGACTTTGTTGCTTCTGTGTGGGACATTGGACATCTGTCACTCCTTGTTGTGTTGGCAATCCATGAAGGCCAGCTCTGGGTCCTGTTGAATGGTTATACGAGGCATGCCTACCGCCAAACTGTTAGCAAGCAGGTCTTTGTTGAAGAACCCTGAGATACTGAGGGAGGGACCCTGTGTTCTCCCTAGGCTGAGTCCTTGTTGGGCGGCTGTCATCCTCAGACGCCCTGCCGGCTCCGCAGTGCCCTCTGCTGGTGGTACTGTTTGCTCTTTGATGCTTCTCTTGAGCTGCTTTGTTTCTTTATGCAGTTGCCCCTGAAGTGTTCCAACTGGAGGGTGTTGTTGCTTCTCCCATCTTGTCCTTTTTAAAATACAGCTTCAGAGCACAAACACTGATGATTCATAATTTTTTGACTTCCTTCCTGCCTTCCCAGCTTCTACCATCTCTCCCAAGATTGTTGCAATGGCCCCCAAAAGCCTCCCTCCCTCTGTTCTTGCCTTCCTGCATCTCTCCTCAGTACAGTGGCCAGAGAGATCCTGCTAAAATGTGAGGTAGATCGTGTCACTCCTCTATTATAAACCCTCCAGTGGCTTCTAATTCTAATTCTAGAAAAAAAAAAAAACACACCACCTTTCTGGTACTCCGTGTAGCCTGACACCCTGCCCACCCCCAACACACACCCTTCCCTGACTTCTCCCCTAGCAGACTAATTCAGTCACAGTCTCATTCTTGGTGGCCAGCCAACCTCGCTGCCTCGGGGCCTTTGCATTTGCTGTGTCCTCTGTTTGGATCACTCTTCCTCCACATTTCCACGTAGCTCCCTCTCTCGCCTCCTTTAAGTCTAGTCAAACGTAAGTCTATCAGGGAGGCCTTCCCTACAATTCTGTTTGGAAGAATCACCCCATCCCGTCTCTGTGCTCCCCACAACTGCATCATTTCTCTCCCTGGTGTGACTCATTGCCTGAGATGCCATCTATTTTACTTGTTTGTCTCCCCTGTTAGAATATGAGTTCCATGAAGGCTGAGATTTTTCTAGGGCCTGGAGAAGTGACCCATAGTAGGCACTCTAATATTTCTTAAACAAATGAGTGATAGCTCTGCTTATTGAATACTTGCTGTGTGCTGGGCACTGTTTCAGACATTTTGATTTTATCTCATTTAACCTTCACTACAACTAGGAAGCATGTACTGTATGACCTTCATTTTAAAGATGAGGAAATAGGCACAGAGAATTTGAGTTGTGCTACCTCTTAATCTACAAAGTGTATAGATATCTCAGGTCCCAGGTAAAGGCAGCGCCTCTGTATTAGGGTTCCCCAGAGAAACGAAACCAGCAGGGGTGTTTGGGGGGGTGTGTGTGTATGTGTGGAAAAGCTGGTTGATTGGCTGATTGATTTTAATGAACTGGCTCATTGGATTATGGAGGCTGGAGTCCTCAATCTACAGGGCAGGCAGGCTGGAGACCCCAGGAAGAGTTGATGTTGCAGTCTTGAATTCAGTGGCAGTCTGGAGGCAAAATTTCTTCTTTCTTGGGGGATTTCGGTCTCTTAAGGCCTCAACTGATTGGATGAGACCCAGTTTATGGATGAGACCTGTCCATTATGGCGGGTAATCTGCTTTACTCAAAGTCTGTTTGTTTAAATGTTAATGACATGTAAAAAAGAAAACAAACCTTCACAACAATATCTAACATGGATGTTTGGCCAAGAAGCTGATCACCATAGCCTAACCCAGCTGACACGTGAAGTTAACCATCACTAAACCTTATATTCCGTGAAACATCTTTGTACATATGTATCTTGTTGCTTCAATGAAATTATTTCCTTTGCATTCATTTCTAGGGTCCACACATTGTGTTAAAGTATATAAATACCTCTGTTATTCTTCATATTCATTTCTTTCTTAAAAGGTGATATCAGTTTACTATGCCATGAAGAATGGGGTTTTTTTTTGCATTTTGGGGGGGTTTTTTTTGGATTACCATCTAAATGCCATTGGGGAAAGGAGGGGTATGGAGAAGACTGAGGGAAAAAAGACTTGTTAGCAATGACTGGAGATATGGTGGGTTTTCTCTGCTTCCCAGCACCACCAGCTCCACGGCCAGCAGCTGTGACACAGAGTTCACTAAAGAAGATGAGCAGAGGCTGAAGGATTACATCCAGCAGCTCAAGAATGACAGGGCCGCGGTTAAGCTGACCATGCTGGAGCTGGAAAGCATCCACATCGATCCTCTCAGCTACGACGTCAAGCCCCGGGGAGACAGCCAGCGGCTGGATCTGGAAAACGCGGTGCTGATGCAGGAGCTGATGGCCATGAAGGTATCGGGGGAGGGGGAGGGGCCTGTGTGCAAACCCTGATCCCAGTCACTCCTGTCACCAGGATGAAATACAGAAAGGCCCCTGAAAGCGAGTCAGGCCCTCGGTGTTCAGTCAGGCACCTCTCCCTAGAGGACAGCCAGAGCCTCATGTGTCAACAGGGATGGTTTCAATCTGTCTGGGGGTCAGTTGGGCTGGGCGTGTTCCTGGAGAGAGGGGTTGAACTGTGGAGAACGCCTCAGGGTGGGCTAGGCCAGGGTGGACTACCTCGCCTCAGAGCCGACCTCCGCAGGGTGGAGCAGCCTCTCTGTCTGTGTGAAAGGACCCCTGATCTCCGGAATGCTTGCGAGGGCTTCCCAGGTGGATGCTGTTAACATGCAGCAAGGGAGGACAGGACAAGGCCAGTCGCGGAATCCGGACAAGAGCCCTGGTTTCCAGATACCCTGGTGCCTTTTGTGCCACCTGGAGCATCCACGACACCTCAGGGCGACTTGGTCAGCAGGTCCCTGCCCTCAGTGGCTACTCGAGCCGGAGTCTAGGTGACGCCTGGGAAGAGTGTGGGCAGGGGCAGCAAGTTCAGGTCAGATCTTGGTCCCACCCTCTCAGCTTAGACCCTGACTTCACTCCCGTGGGGATCCTTATGCAGTGTTACCTGGTTCTCCCTCACTGCCCCTGAGCCGGGCGTTGACTTCCTAATCGCCGTGCCTCTTTCCCTTCTCTGTGGGCCTTTGCACCTTGCAGCATGAGCTCTGAAGCTGCCCTTCCATTATTTCTTCCAAATGTTACGTTTCCTTTGGCCAAAGACTACCGATTTCCTTTTCATATTCAACTAATTTATTGTGTGATAAATTCAGTGTTATTTTGTCCAGGAAAGATACTTTAGGTGGACGAAAAGCTCTCATTGTCCCTTTGTTCCTTACAAATAAAATATGTACACATCATAGAAGTTTTCTGAAAAGTAGAAATTACAAAAAGCTGTGAAGTGAGGGAGAGTATAGCTCCATGGTAGAGTGTGTGCTTAGCATGCATGAGGTTCTAGGTTCAGTCCCCAGGACTTCCATTAAAAAATAAATAAATAAATTTTAAAATAATGAATTAAAAAATAGACCCAAATTACCTTTCCTGCAAAAAGAAAAGGCTGTGAGAGAAATAACTCATAACATCATGCCCCAGGGGCAGCCTGCAGGCTCTGGTGTGGTTCCCTCCCTGGCAGTTTTTTGAAGGACAAACAGCAGCGTCACCTCCCTTCCCTGACTGTCCCTAGCAGTGCCTTCAGGGACGTGTGCTCACCCAAACCAAATCCACTGGTGGCAGATTGCGTTGGATTTTGCCGTTTTGTTCTAGGATACAACTGCTGAGAAACTCAAGTTTTAGGGGGTTTTTTGTTTTTTGTTTTTTTTAACTTGTACTTGATCTTTAGGAAACACCTTTTGATCTCCAGATGACCCACTTGGTTCCTTTTCAAACCCACTCTTCTTTTTTGAATATCCCATCCTCTCATTATGCCTGCTCTTCCTTTTTGTCTTTAATTGTTTTAAATATTGTCTCTTTTTCCCCTTGTTAATTCTGGTTCTTGTAAATGCTGATTCTGCCTCAGCATGACTCATGTCCACTTTCCCATGTGGTGGGGGGGTCTTTTTCCCTTGTTAATTCGTTGGTTACTTGTAAGTGCTCGTATTCTCGCCTCGAGCTATCGTACTCGTATCGTCCGTACGTTCCGAGGTGGTGGGGGGGTGGGGGGAGAATGTGGGTTCTGGTCCATCCTCAGTGGAGATTGTGTCTTGCAGGGGACCCTTTGGGTCCTGGGTTGGAGATGTCCCTGTAGAGTGGTTGTGAGGTTAGATCTGTGTGGACCTGTGGTTTTCAGAGATTTAGGACTAGTTCTTGTTATCATGTTGGCTTAGGAATTGTTCCACATCTACAGAAGACTCGAGTTTGTCGTCTGATTCCTCAAATGAGGCTCTTTTTAATTCTCTCGCCCGAAGCCTGAGTGATGACGCGTTTCCTTGCCACTCCTCCAGAAAGGAAGTCTTCTCGTGCCCTCTCTCGGTGGTACTTGGAGAGTCCAACTCCTACAGGGGGCCTCGGCCCTGACCCTCTGCCCTGCCCTTGCGTGGCTGCCAAAAGCCCAGGTCCGGGGCCCCCCACCCATCTGCCGCCTTTCCTTGCGGGCAGAGTTCCCGCTTCATTTCTGGCTCCCTCGATCTCATCTTTCCTTCTCTCAAGCTTGCATTTGTATGTTTGTTCTGAGTGTGACTGTCCCCATTAGCTCAGTCTGCAGTGCTGCCAGAATCTTCAGAATCCTGCATCTAATGGCCAAGGATGAGAAAGTCCAGTGTATCGAAACACCTTCCATCCTGGCTTTATGTCATCAGGAAAGGTTTGGTGTCTTCTTTTGAGCAGTCGCTCAGCACGTCGCCTTCTCTGTGGCCCACGCCCCCTCCCTGAGTATTACTAGCCACGGCGGGTGCCCTTCAGGTATTTCCCACATTGGGAACAGAACATCTCCTCCCCGGGCCTGGCTTGTTACCTCAGAGAAGGGTCACTCCGGGGGTGACCAGAGTCGGTGACCTGGGTGAATCCCTGTCAAGGCAGTGAGTTGGTGTTATAAAGGCTCCTTTTGAGGAAGATCATAGAGATACCTGGGGAGACTGACCTGGTGGTCATGAGGGAGTGGACTCACCCTCCGGCAGAGGTGAGGGACAAGCATCATGCACAGGCTCGCCTTGAAAGGGGGCTTAGTGGTTACACAGGCTCCAAACCAGATGTCCTGGGTTCACAGTTCACCCAGTAACCGTGGGCTGAGCTAAGCAGGTGGGTTTCACTTCTGCGTGCCTCAGTTTCCCATCCTGGAATGGAGGGACTCATAATGCCTGTTTCTGGTCAGGAGGGTTAAATGAGTTACTTTGTGTAAACATTTAAAATCCTGTTACGTGCTAAATAAATGCTGGTGGTTACCACTGCCATCTGGTTTCTGGTCCCAGGACAGCACTGTCCCATGGTGGAGTCACTTTTTCTCCACAGCCAACTCTGATTTGAGTTCTCTTGAGGCACTTCAAGAAGTGACCTGATGAGTAGTCACCTGTCAAGGGCCCTGTTGCTAATGATTCATCTGGGGCCCTAAAGGAGACAAGAGTGGGAGGCAGTATCATTTCTGGCACAGCTGCAGGACCCCAGACTGCCACCGGGGGTGATTAAATATGGGCATTGGTGTCGTGGAAAATGGAAAAGCAAACGGGGATTGGAAGGGACCTAGTCAGACCCAGGCTTGTATGAATGACCTCTTTGACCACCCCTTTGATGAAGCTTAGCCTTCGTGGGTCAGAAAACTAAACTGGCTTCCAGCAAGGCAGGTGCGACCACTGGGGAAGCGGAGGTGGGTTGTTAGAAAGGTTTTCCTGATAGTGAGCCAATGGCCACTCACCTGTACCTTCTACCCAGTTACCCCAGTTCTGGTCCATGGTGACGAGCACATGGCTTGTTGCACAAGTCAGTCCTCCAGTTGCGTGGAGACAGCCATCTGGTCTCCTCCCCATCATCGTCTCCCCAGCTGCAAAGTGACAGCTCCCGCCAGACCGTGAGTTGTCGCCGCGCACCCCCTTTCCCGGCCCAGCCCTGCTCTCACTGCAGGCGCCTCGTGCGCTCTGTGCTCCGCAGGAGGAGATGGCCGAGCTCAAGGCCCAGCTCTACCTCCTGGAGAAAGAGAAGAAGGCCCTGGAGCTGAAGCTGAGCACGCGGGAGGCCCAGGAGCAGGCCTACCTGGTGCACATCGAGCACCTGAAGTCCGAGGTGGAGGAGCAGAAGGAGCAGCGCACGCGGTCCCTCAGCTCCACCAGCAGCGGCGGCAAGGACAAGTCCGGCAAGGTAGGGGCGGGGGCTCCGGCTCGGGCCTTGCTTCCTGCCCGGGGCCGCCAGGCTCCTCACTGCCCTTCTGACTTGGTTTCCTTATTCGCGTAGGAACTGCAATCCATTCCAGAAATCTGAAAGAGCGTGCCATTTTGGTTGCAGAGAAATCCAATCCACATTTGTTTTTTATCTCACTTTATATAACAGTTAAAGCATTTTCACGGACCACAGTTTTCAGGGCAGTGATCTGGGCAGTGGCCCAGGAGTCTGATTCTGGTTTTCCCTCCTCTCGCATCACACGATGACATCATTTGTTTATCACTCCTGAACTGATAGTTGCATTCATTATCTCCCTGAAGTCTCACAACTCTGAGGAAAGAAGAGTTATCCTCATTTACATGAGGAAAATAAGGTTTAAAAGAAACGAGGGGGTCTCTCAGCAGTAAGAGGCAGAATCGGGATTTAACCCGTATGGCTAATGGGCCCCCCTCCTCTGTTTTGCCTCGAATTCCCTGAGGAAGCCGGAAGCGGAGGAAGAAAGCAAGCCCTGCTCCACCCACAGGGACTCACAGGGAGTGGGCTCTCGGTGAGAGCGTCCTGCAAACTCACACCTTCATTAGCCCACAAGCCTTTTTTTCTAGAATCCAAGCTCATTTCCATCATCCTCTATCTCAGAATGATTCCAGCACTGGAGAAAAAAATACTCTGGACCCTGAAGATATTCCTTGTCCCAGGGTGTTGGGATTCTGTGCTTCAGATTTGCTGTTTCTAATAAACTCTAGCTCCTCCTGACCCCATTTTGTCAGGCCCAGGACTTGTGGCCATGCACTGACTTGCTGGTCTAATGAGTGGCTCCTCACAGCCTGAGCGCAGGGGTGTCTCCACCCTGAGCGTCGTGCAAAGAAAGCAACTTGCCGATGCTGTGTTGCAGTGAATGGTCACTCCCTAAACAGCTAAGGACTGTGATGCATGTTCTACAGAGGCCACAGCTACCATTCGCCCGCCTCTCACCTAGTAGGGTGCCAAGGAAGTCCATGGCCGTGGCACCTGGCTGGGCCGCCCTCCCGAGACCCAAGCTGCTTTCTAGTCATCTTTTCATATGATGATGGGATTTGGTCCAGGCCAGATGCTGGAGGCAGGTCCAGGAGTTAGATACCAGCAGGAGATGCTGATGGGCAAACAGGTGATCCTAACACTGGGACACAGTGTCCTGAGTGCAAGGATCGATGCCTAGTGCGAGGGAAGTCTGCAGGCCAGACCCAAAATCCAGATTTGGAGATTAGGGACAGGTTTCCTGAACTGAGACCTAGTGGAGAGTGGGAGCTAGCCCAATGAAGAGGACAGGGCAGACAAGAAAGTCCACCCTAGGCTGATGGACCGGCATGGGCAGAGACCCGAGGGAGGAGGAACTGATACATTGCCCGGAGAGGGAGCCGGCTGTGCCCTCCCGAGGATGGGGAGGAGTCGCTGAGGGGTTTTGGCAGGCGGTGACGACACAGTCTGGATTTTGGAAAGGTCACGGTGCAGGTGCACCCTGAAACCACATGCCCGGTGCCTGGGAAGTCGGGTCGGGGTGGCCAGCGGCCTCTGCAGTGCTGTTTCATGTGGGAGTCTCTGGGGCTCGGGCGTGTGCCAGCAGCTCAGAGCCTCCGTACAGCCTTCTGAGTCTGTTAGCAGTCACTTTGGGACAGAGACTGAGAGACAGAGCACTAGTGTTCGTGTGTGTGTCCTTAGGGTGTGGTGGAGGTGGACTTGCCAGGCTCTTGCCAGAAGGCCCGTGAACTGAGCATTTTCCCCCAGTTCTGAGTATTTATTTTGACTGGGGGAAGCACTGCGTTTTGTGGAATGGCTTCAAAGTACAGAAATCTCTTTGATGGAAATGGCCAGATGATTCATTTTTATTTTTACTTTTTTACATTAGAGTAAGAAGCTTTCTAAGAGTACCTTGTGTTGTTCACGTAATGAAATTAGAGTAAGCTGATTATTTTGTCTTTCAAAAATTAGATCCATGTACTGTGTCAGTAACATCTCCCCTCCGGGCTGCTCCTTTGGTCTTATTCGTTGGCAGATGAGGCAAACAGCCTGGAGCAGAGGCCCGTGCACCATAAAAACCCAGACAGTCAGTGTCTCAGGGTTTTCTGGATCATGAGGACTCCGCTGCAGAGGCAGGGACAGCCCAGACACGACGGTGCGTGGCTGTGTTCTGACGACACTTACGGCCACTGGAATTTGGATTCCACAGAGTTTCTGCACATCACAAAATACTTCTTTGATTTTTTTTTCATGATTTCAAAAACAGAGAAACAATTCTTAGCCCTGTGGGGCTTCTCAAAACAGGTGGCAGGCCAGACTGGGGTCTGGAACATCCACTCTTGCTCCACAAGGTGGCTGTCGTACTTGTTTTAAAAATTCCCTCCAGCCAACAAGCTGGGTCCCAAATCTTGTCCACGTCACACAGGTGTTTTCAGTTCTTGTCTGTATGCAACAGAGATTACCAGATGTGTTCTATGAGAGGCACCGGGTGAGACAGAGCTGTCCCTGCCTTTAAGGAGTCTTATGAAATGTTAACGCCATGGGGGAGATGACGTACATAAAGAGGGTGTTGGACTCTGAAGGTGACCCAGGGCTGGCAGAGGGGGCCCACGTCTTCAGGCCACTGGATGGAGAGGAGGGAAGGGAAGCAGGTCCGGCAGAGACCCGGCCCGGGGAAGGTGTTCAGGTGTTGCTGTCAGCCCCAGAGGAGCCCTGGGTGTGGTGGCATTTCTGTACCAGTGGGCGGAGGAGACCCAGTGCCTCTCTGTTGTCTGGTTTCTAGCTCTGGGTTCATGCTTCCTTGTAGCGCCCGTTCCACTGTGATAGAAGGTTCTATTTACAAACTGCCCCAGGTACCAGATCACAAGCTTTTCATGCCCAAGCCTGGGCTGTGGTAGATCCTTAGTAAACGTCTGCTGAGCGAGTTGTTACATAAACGCTGTCCCCCGGCTGTTTCATCACCAGCCTAGCAGCTGCCCTCTGCCTGTAGGCGGGAAGGGTGGCCGCTCAGGTGGGTGTGGTCACTGCCTTATGCAGTCTTAACTCCATTGAGAATAGGTGTTCCAGTTCCTGTGTTTCCTCATCTGTAAATGAGAGGATTTGGTTGAGGTGATGTCAAAGTTCCTGTCTCATGCTAAGACGTGGTAAAACCCTCTTTCCTGGTCTTCTAGATGGTTACATGGAATTCAGTAAAGCCCCCAAATCTGGAGAAGACGGGTTTTCTCCCGAGGGGATGTGGGATGGAGGGCAGGAGGGAGGGACCACAAAAGGATACGCACATGTTCCCCACTTGCGAGCTACGAGAGGCTTTTACGAATTACGAGAGGCTTACCCAGTGGCTAAGAGTACTGGCCTGGGTTGGAATCCTGGTTCCGCCGCGTCCTAGCTGGTGACGTGGGGCAGTGCAGCATCTCTGTGCCCTAGTGCTCTCCTTGGCAAAGTGGGGCCAGTGAGAGTATCCGCCTTGGAAGATCATCCTGATGATTAGGTGAGAGAACACGTGGGGGGCGCTCAGACCAGTGCCCGGCTCCCCGTGAGTACTCAGAGCGCACCGCGCAGCCTACGGAGGCCGGTACCCGGGGAGCTGCCCCCGCTGCCTGGTCACCCCTGTGCTCGGCCAGCAGGTGCTCGGCCAGCAGGTGCTCGGCTTTGGCTCCACGCCTAACCCGTGGGTCTGTGTCCCCAGGAGTGTCCTGACGCTACCTCCCCGGCGCTGTCTCTGGCTGAACTACGGACGACGTGCAGCGACAGCGAGCTGGCTGCCGAGTTCGCTAACGCCATCCGACGGTAAGCACCCTGCGCGCCCGCAGCCCTGACCGATGATGTGTTTATCCTAGGGGGGAGGGCTTGGCCCTGAGTTCTCTCAGCTGTAGGTGTCGTTGGCTCTTCATGGAGCGTTACCGGCTGCCTGGGACGGAGAGGGTGCCTATGTGTCTTCCTTTCGCCCCGGCCTTGGAGGCCAGAGAAGGGAGTGACTGAGAGAGTATGTAGGCAGTCATTTCACCTGCAGATAGAAAACGCCTCTTTCTTGGCTTCTGTGTGGTGGTGTGGCGTTGCCTGGAACCTCAGGGCTGTGTTCAGTGGTGACAACCAGAACAGACATCTTGCAATATCACTGGGATGGAGTGTTGCAGGTAAATTCTGGTTGGATCTTTATGGAATGTTTAACAATTTCTTTGGCTGCTTTATACATCGATCATATACCTGAAATATAAAGACAATTCAGTTGAGTGAAGGAAAAAAACGGAGGTCTTTACTTTGTTTCCAGCTTCAGTGAGAACGCCACCCTCTGCATCGCTGGTTCTTTCCAGTCAGGAGGCCTCCTTGTGCGTTCACTTGTGGACAGTTTTCCTTTAGTGCGGCAGGGCCTCTTCCCCTCTGTTCTCTCCCTGTAGCTCTGTCTTCCACACCCTGACTTTTCATCCTCTCACTACCTTTCTGTATTCTGTTCTAGAGCAGGGCCCTCGAGTAGAAATGAAATGCAAGCCACACTGTAATTTTATTTTTCTTTATTTTTATTTTTTACCTATTTATTTATTATTGAAGTATAGTCAGTTTACAATGTGTTAATTTCTAGTGTACAGCATAATATTTCAGTCATACATGTACATATATACATTCATTTTCATACTCTTCATTATGGGTTACTACAAGATATTGAATATAGATCCCTGTGCTATACAGTAGGACCTTGTTGTTTATCTGTTTTATATATGGTAGGTAGTATCTGCAAATCTCATACTCCCCATTTATCCCTTCCTACCCCCTTCCTTACCACCCCCAGAACCATAAGTTTGTTCTCTATGTGAGTCTGTTTCTGTTTTGTAGATAAGTTTATTTGTGCCTTACTTTTTTAGATTCCACATATAAGTGATACCATATGGTATTTTTCTTTCTCTTTCTGGCTTACTTCACTTAGAATGACATATCTCCAGGTCCATCCATGTTGCAGCAAATGGCATTATTTTTTCTTTTTATGGCTGAGTAGTATTCCATTGTACATGTACACCACAACTTCTTTATCCAGTCATCTTTTGAGGGGACATTTAGGTTGTTTCCATGTCTTGACTATTAGTAAATAGTGCTGCAGTAAACATTGGGGTGCATGTATCTTTTCGAATTAGAGTTCTTTCTGTATATATGCCCAGGAGTGGGACTGCTGGATCATCTGCTGGATCAATCTCCATACTGTTTTCCATAACAGCTACACCAAACTACATTCCCACCAACAGTGTAGGAGGGTTCCCTTTTCTCCACACCCTTTCCAGCATTTATCATTTGTGGACTTTTTAATGATGGACATTCTCAGTGGCCACACAGTAATTTTAAATCTTATCAGCGTCATTAAAAAAGTAAAAAGAAACAGGTACAGTCCACTTTAATAGTGTATTTTATTTTACTGCATCTATTCAAAACATCATTTCAGTATGTAAATCAATATTTTTAAAGATATTAATGAGATAGCTTATCTTCTAATTTTTTTAACCAAAATTTTTAAGTCAAAATCTACTGTAAACTTGTAAGTTTACACTTACAGCACATCTGAGATTCAAATCAGCCAACGCTGCCAGCGCTCAGCAGCCCATGGCTGTGGCAGCCCTGTCAGATGGTACTCTTCTGGGGAGGGTCTTGAGCTCCGTTTCCCAGCTCACTGCTTTGTTCTTCAGCTGTAACCATCATGGTGTTAGGCTGATGTGTTGAATTATTTTGGTGATGAAACCTGTCAGGTCTTTTGTAATGACATCTTCTTGCAACTCTGAGGATATTTATTATACTTATTCTAAAATCTTATTTTGTTTGTTGTTTGTTTGGAGGGGATAATTAAATTTATATGTTTATTTTTTTAATGGAGGAACTGGGGATCAAACCCGGGACTTAAAATATTGTTTTATCTGTTGTGTTAACTGTTCCCTTACATGTGAGGGCTTTTTTGTGTGGTTTGTGTGTGTGTGTGTGTGCTTTTTTAATGGGGATCGAACCTCTTGCATGCTAAGCATGCACCACTGAGCTATACTCACCCCCTTCCCCCACTCCCACCCATGGTAGTTTTTAGAGTTGAGATTTGATTTGTGACTCTTTCTTGGCTTTGGCTCACAAGCTCGCCTCTGGGCTTTCCGTTCCTCCTGGCTGACGTCAGCTCTCCAGGCCGTGTATCTGACCCAGACATCTGGTCCCGTCTTGTTCTGATGACCAGCACCTCTGGTTGGAGCACTTCTGAAGCCCCTTCTGCTTCTGTAGCCACTTTCTTCTGTGTGCATTTTGAGTTGTGGTTTCCTTTTGCTGGAAGAGTAAAAATCTGCCTTTGCTTTTATATGATTGCTCATGGTTTCTCGTAGACAAAGAGCACTCCTTGGTTTCCGTCATGCATGAGGATTTTTAAAAAACACGTTTCCCATAATTTCTGGGGATTTGGGGTAGGAGCGGAAGGCAGCAGTATATGCTCAGGCTGCTGCCTTGGTCCAGCCGGGGCTGGATGTTCATTTTATAGTGTTGCCTCCAGGCTGAGGATGGATGGAAGGCTGCCTTGTGGGGAACCTCACTACCCTCCTGGTTTACTCACTGCCACTTTTTGCCTTTCCTTCCAAGTTGTAATAGCTCTGCTTTTACACTGCCAGCACCTCTGGCCATGTGGCTAAATGGTAATCGCTTTGCTAGATGCGGGAAGAGAGAAGCAGCAGGGGAAAATTGTCCTCCACTGATCCTAATGACATCTCTGTGCCAGAAACTCAGGATGCAGGGCTCCCCCTACCCCTGCTTCCAGCTGGGAGCCATTGGGATATTGTATGTGTAAGTTAAGCGCCTGCATTTTCCATGTTCCCCCAATCTCAGAGGCCTTTGCTGGCACAAGCAGGATGCAGGTTCTGCTGACTAAACATGAAGAGATTTCATTTGCTCTGTCAGTCACAATGGATTTCCAATAACCAGGCTTAAGTTGGTTAGCATGGATTTCTAATCAAGCCCTGGATATATGGAGCCAAGAAAGAGCCCACAGGGCTGCGGGAAAAAGGAAAATGACATCATTACACTAAATACAGCCTAGAAACTGGAGTCATCATTTCATGAGGGTATATAATACAGACACCCGAGGGCTAATGTTTGGGGGTGTTTTTATTTTTAAAATTCAAGTGAAAACTAACACCTTCTTTGAAGGTATTAAATCACCACTGAGCTAGTGGTTGAGTCAGTTGAGAGAACCTTCTCAGAATTTTCAGAACGATTCCTTCCTTGGAAAAGGTTGGTTCCAAATAGCACAGTTGTGGGCCTAGGGAGCTGGATGAAAAGAGCAGGTGTGGAGGGGGCGGGTGGAGGCTGCGCGGTGGTCTTCTCTGGAGGAGAGCCCCTCTGGAAGGTGCCTCGTGACTTCCAGTCACTGGTTCTGGTTACTGCCCGGCCCAGCCTGGCCCCCCTGGCCCCTCGCCGGCCTGCAGCCTCAGCCCCCCTGCCCACCAGTCCTGCTCTCGCTGTGTGTCTGCTCCCCACCTTCTGTTTGGAACAAAACCAGGACTCTCTGCAATCACACAGTTACCACTGAACTCCCATCTGGTCTGATTTCGTTCCCTCCCCTTCCATGAACGTTTATTGTCGTTTGTTGGCTCCGGCACTGCCATAAAACCGCATCTGGACGTGACCAGTTTCCAGCGTTGCATGTGAAGAGTTTTCTTACCAGGGTGCCTCATTTTTGCTGTTGTCTGCACAGGCTGAACATAACAAAACCCTTCTCGACCCCACAATCCTCTCTTGCTCTTGATCCTAGTAAAATTTAACTGAATAACCTTTCCACCAAGGAAGTGAACTGTAAAAATTCAGTTACGGAGAGGGATTTTCAGAAATGAATCTGCTCTGTACTTACACGGTGTTTGCGTAGCTGCCTTGGGGACCCGAGCGCAGCCGAGAGGAGCAGACTGCTTCCTCTCTGACATTCTTAGGAGGCGGTGACGAGCAGGTGGTGTTCTCCATGTGATGCGGGGGGCAGGGGAGGCAGAGGGAAACTGGCACAGCAAGGCTGGGTGATTTCCCAAGGTCACACAGCGAGGCAGTGGGGAAATCGCACACCCTCGTCTGCTCTGCTGGGCCCCTGTTGGTTAGCATGGATTTCTAATCAAGGTTTGCTTACTGATGAGTGTGAGCTGAGCCCTCTCATACGGGCTCACCTACTCCTGGACCCCTGTAGTGTGCATGGTCGGGGCGAGTGGGCATCCCTGGGCTCCAGGTACACAACCACATAGCCATTTGCCGAATGCAGAAGGCGCGTGATGTGCTGGCGGTGGGGACAGACGTCCTCAGACGCACAGCCCCCAGGTCACTGTGTTTAAAGGGTTGGGATGCTGTGCCTCTCAGTGCTGGGGGACAGGGAGTACTCAGGAAAGTAATGTGACTTGAGGAGAAGCAGCATGTAGCACCACCTCAGGCGATTCCAGGTCTGCCTGTCGCCGGCCCCGAGCAGGACAGGACCTGGACCACATCGGTGCCACAGAGGTCGGCCGCCCTCTCCCCACCAGAGTCTGTGCTCATTTACTCACAGGCCTGCCAGGGGCTCCACTGAGCCCTTCGGGGAACTGGCTCTGCCACCTGTGCCTGCATGTGCCAGATGGTTCTGTAAGACACTAAGCGAAGGCAATCTACAGATTGCAGCAGCCACTCTGCCCAGGGACAGGATGCGACCTACTCATCAAGCAGGAGAGGGGCACCGAAACTTCCCTTTATCACTCTGACGAGCACCGAGTGAGCCGCTGCTGGTGGTAGAGGGCTGTGTGTCAGGTCCCTGTGAGGAGACATCGGGGGCAGGG